GTTTAGCTGCCTGAATGTCTTCTTTGGTGAAATGTCTGTTACTATCCTTTGCCCATTTTTTAATTGGATCATTTGTCTTTCTGTTGTTGAGGTGTTGCAGTATCTCGTAGATTTTAGAGGCTAGACCCTTAATGGATACATTGTAGCCAAAAATTTTCTTCCCAGTCTGTAGGTTCTCTTTTTACTCTTTCCTGAAGTCTTTCAATGAGCATAACTGTTTGATTTTTAGGAGCTCCCAGTTATCTAGTTTCTCATCTGGTGCTTGTGTAGTTAGCTTTGGTTTGTATCCTATTTATGCCACGTATTAGCGCCCCTAGCATTGCCCCTATTTTTTCTTCCATGATCTTTATCGTTTTAGATTTTACATTCAGGTCTACGATCCACTTTGAGTTACTTTTTGTGTATGGTGTGAGGTATGGGTCCTGTTATTGGTTTTTTTTTTTTCTTTGCAGATGGATATTCAGTTATGCCAGCACAATTTGTTAGAGACTGTCTCTTCCCCCTTTACCAGACTTTGGGCCTTTGTCAAATATCAGCTGCTCACAGATAGATGGATGTATGTCTGGGTTCTCAATTCTGTTCCACTGGTTTATGTGTCTGTTGCTGTACTAGTACCAGTCTGTTTTGACTACCGTGGCTGTATAACAGGTTCTAAAATCAGGTAGAGTGAGGCCTCCGACGTTGTTTTTCTTCTTCAGTAATGCTTTACTTCTCCAAGGCCACCTCCCTTTCCATATAAAGCTGGTGATTTGTTTCTCCATCTCATTAAAAAATGCTGTTGGAGTCTGTATCTGGATTGCATTTTATCTGTAGATTGCTTGCACTGCTGGTGGGAATGTAAAATGGTACAACCACTTTGGAAAAACATATGGCGCTTCCTTAAAAGCTAGAAATAGAAATACCATAAGATCCAGCAATCCCACTCCTAGAAATATACCCTAGAGAAATAAGAGCTATCACATGAATAGACATATGCACACCCATGTTCACCGCAGCACTATTCACAATAGCAAAAAGATGGAAACAACCTAGGTGCCCATCAAAAGATGAATGGATAAAAAAATTATGGTACATACACACAATGGAACGACAGACACATGCAACGACAAAGAACAATGATCAATCAGCGAAACATCTAGTAACATGGATGAATCTGGAAGGCATCACGCTGAGTGAAGTAACAGTCACAAAAGGACAAATACTGTATGAGACCACTATTACAAAAACTCAACAAAAGGTTTATAAACAGAAAAAAACATTCTCTGATAGCTACAAGGGTGGGGAGGGAGGAAGAGGAGAAATCATTAACTAGATAGCAGACAAGTGTCAATTTGGTGAAGGAAAGGACAACACACAATTTAGGGGATGTCAGCACAACTGGACCAAAAAGCACGCAAGTTTCCTAGACATATCAAATACTTCGAGGGACTGAGCAGCTGGGGCCTGGAGACCATAGTTTCGGGGGACATCTAGGTAAACTGGCATAACATAGTTCATAAAGAAAATGTTCTACATCCCACTTTGGTGAGTACCGTGTGGGGTCTTCAAAGCTTGCAAGCAGCTATCAAATATACATCTATTGGTCCCTTCCCACCAAAGGAGAATGAAGAAAACCAAAGACACAGAGAAAATACTAGCCCAAAGGACTAAAGGACCACATGAACCAGAAACTCTATCAGCCTGAGACTAGAAGAACTAGATGGTGCCCAGCTACCACCAAGGACAGCCCTGACAGGGATCACAACAGAGCCCTGGACAGAGGGGGAGAAAAATGTAGAACAGAATTCAAATTCACATAAAAAGACCAGACTTACTGGTCTGACAGAGACTAGAGGAACTCCCAAAACTATGGTCCCCAGACGCTCTTCTAACCTAGAACTGAAACCATTCCCAAAGCCCACTTTTCAGACTAAGATTAGACAGGCCTATAAAACAAAAAATAACACACGTGAGGAACATGCTTCTTACTTCAATCAAATACATGAGACCAAACAGGCAGCTCCTGTCCCAAAGCAGGATGAGAAGGCAGGAAGGGACAGGAAGTGGACGAATGGACACAGGGAACCCAGGGTGGAAAGGGAGAGCGTGCTATCACATTGTGGGGATTGCAAACAATGTCACAAAACAGTTATCTGTATAAATTTTTGAATGAGAAATTAATCTGAGCTGTAAACTTTTACTTAAAGCATAAAAAAAAAAGAAATAGAGATAAATGAATCTTCAAACTAAAAGAGTCCATCAAGTACACACAGAAATATAATCCACACCTGGGGATATCCTCATGTAATTTTAGAACACCAAGAATAAAGGGGAAAAAAATGCTAAAGCTTCCAGTGAGAGATACAAATAGGTAATTTGTAAGTAATATCTCTGCTCTGTTAAACAGATCTACACGTGGTCCCCAAAACTTATCTTGTGCTCACACTTACCAGAATGTCATTTGTCCTTCTCTCCACCTATCCTTCCCTACCTGTCTTTCAAATTCCAGTTCAAGTCTTGTTCTCTGTAAAACATTTGCCAAGTAGTTTAGATAGTGATCTTCCCTACTCCTGCACCATTCATTTGACATTCACTCTGTATTACCTTGTGCCATTTTGGTAACTACTATGGTCAACCGTTACCTCTTGGAATTTTATTTAAATTGTTGGTTTTCAGAAAATACGGATATGATTCTACCATTTTTTTAAAATCTTCCACAGGATCATGCATCCAGAAGACATTAAATGCCAGATAAGTCTGAAACTAGTTCCTGGGACATATCTTAACTTCACCAGTTGCTTATTTATCTTATTTCCTCAATTTATGAACAAGTTTTATATTTACATTCATAATTAAAAGTCAAAGAAAAATCAGTGCACGGAAATTTTAGAGGGTGGAAAAACATATAAATGTTACAAAGGTATCTGATTTCAAAGCCCCCACAAACTTCAAGTTATAGTTTCTAGTTGCAAAGTACTAATCCTGAAGAGTAATCAACAGTAGTTTTTATCATCTGATGGCATCCAACCCAGAGGAAAGATACCTTACGGAAAGGGATGGGAAGGCAGAAGAGATGCGCTGTCTTACCTAGTAAAACTACTGTCCGATGATGAAAACCAATATCCGTGCTAGCTGTTGCCTACTCCTGCTCCAGATCAGTAGACCAATGTAATAAATAAAAGTTGAAGAAAGTCTGGATCTAAAAATTTTTACATACCAGAATCAAGTTCTAGAGATTCCACCCTAGGGTAAAAATGTCTATCACCAAGTCCTCTCAAACGTTTAACACTTGCTGGGAATAGGCAAAGGATGAGAAACCCAGCTGGTTACAGAATTATTATGAACTAGTAGTTAAAAAAGAAACTAATCTACTGAAATTTTGGAAGGAAGCTTTTTTTTAAAACACTACATTCTTTAAAATAATTTAAAAAAAAAAAGATTTTGTCCATGAATTCTCCATACATGAAGAAACTCCTGAGAGAAGAGAGTATAAACATGTGAATATTTTTCCAATTATAAATGTTAAGTCAGGATATCTTTCTCCTGGTGTACATGAGCTTAGAAAAAGAAAAGAAAACTGATAAGTTTGGCTACTAATACTACGTCCCTTTCTTTCTTTGACTTCTAATAGATGGCCCAGCTGGCAATCAAGGTAATAGAAATGGACTATGTCCAACCTAGAATTAGTTTTGTACTAGCTTTCACCAGAAATTCTAGGAAATGAGGAAAGAGGTTATTTAAAGAGTGTTTCCTTGCTGCTGGAGCTCTGACTAGTCAAGAAGTGCTACGTTCACTTCCTCACCGTAGCCCCCACTCGATGTTTCAGAGAAAAGTAAAAAGGCTGGGATTCTAGGCTGAGCTCTAACAAGAAACTTAATTATATGAACACCACCAGTCTAATACAAAAAAAAAAAGCAATCCAAGTCAGGTACACTGTTACTCTAGATTTCATGGAAAATATCTTTCATTCCTTCTAAGGTTGTAAATGTATGTATACACACATACATACCCCTGGCTTCTAGATACTGCTGTTTCAAAAATAACAGAAAACGCCCCATTGCAAGATACTCTGCCTTCTACCAATTTGTTACTATTTGCAAATACAGCACACACCAAACATTAAAAGAACAGTAGCAATAAATGTGCCTCTTTTGAAAGAATATATAAGGTTTGAATACAAAATTGTTGAAGAATTATTAAAAATTGTAAAAAAATGTGTTCTGTCAGCCTTCTTTACTGTACCTTCCACCACCTGCTTTACAGTTCTCAATAGCATGTCTAACTGAAAATTATTTTTATGAACATGAGTATAAATGTAAAGCCACTAGCTTTGACACCTGCTGTTCATGAGTGCTTTGGGGAGGAGGGGAGAGAAGGACTTATTAATACATCACTTCCATTGAATCGAAGGTTTCAATAATTATTCTTAAGGTAGTATTTTAAATTAACTTACAGACATTTTTAATAATATTTTCAGTAAGATGCTGTAATATTTCTACTTTTTAATAAAAAGTATTCACTGAATACATTTTTTTAAAAAAACTCACTAGTACCTGTAGACTGGCACGTACACAGTTCTTCCCATTAACTCTGACGTGGAAATCTTTCAGGCTTTTTAAGAAGGAGAATCTATTTTGTCACCAAGTAAATGGTAATGATTTGTGCAGATCTATACAGGACAGTTAAGTTTCCCAAATACAATTTACTATTTAATTGGAAATCCAATAATAAAGGGATAATATTCTCAGAGTTTAGTAAGAGAGAAAGTGAAATGATATAAATGCACCTGGATCTTCAGCTCCTCTTTTCCCTTCCAATAAACTTTAATAAGGAAAATTGTGTTTTCTTACCTCACACTACAGAATCAACAGCTTTCTATTTCAACTGAAATAGCAATATTTCAAATGGCCCACAAGATAATGAAAATACCAACCTCTGGGTTTAGAAAAATTCATAAAATACAGTAACTTTAAATTCTGTGCTTGAGTTGAGCCTTTTATTTGATTACTAAGAATACTCACATGTGTGGGTTTTGAACTCCTGTAGGATTGGGATTCAGAGTAAACCTTGCTGTTGATTTGAAAGGTGGATTTGCAAAATTCAACTTCAGTGCTTTGCGTTTACCTGAGAAATAAAAAATAAAAAGTAAAAGTTTCAAGTACTATAAAATAGGTACCATTCTGAGGGCATAAGAAATTCACACAGACAGGCAGAAAAAACAACTTGCTTTAACATATAGTTGGTACACTATTTTGAAAGGCAACAAAGAATTTCTCACAATTAAAAAAAGTAAATACAAATTATCTTTAGTTGATACTAATCATAAATTATACTTTGTGCTGCAATACAAATAGATAACAATGCTCAGTGCTTCAAGTTTATACTGTTCAGCAGTGTTAATACTTTTACAAATGAAAATACCAATATAAAAATCATTTATTTCAGCAGATATATTAAGAAATACTAATATTACTACTTTCCAGTGTAATACTTTAACACCTCCTGTTTAATAAAAATCATGTTGCCTTAAGTTTAATATAAACAACTAAGAATCTGAAGCATTCTCCAACCTTAATGGGCTAAAAATGTCATCGTACAGTAAGCATAGTTATTCCAAATACTCATTTATTTGAAGCAGTTTCTTAAAGGAGAGAAAGGGAGGATTGAGGTATCTATATTTTTTTATTACCCAAATAAATACGTCCATTACAGGAAATCCAGAAAATTTAGAAAAAATAAAGGTCACATACAAATCCCCAAAATAATCAGTTGACTTTCTGTTGTAGATTTTTTCTATACATAGATGTAGACACATATTTTTTCTCTAAAACTGAAATCAGAACTTGATACTGTTTTTTTAACTTGCTTATTGACTGAGCATATTTTTTTCAGTGTGAATAAATCTTACAAGATTCACTTCTTTAAAACTGTACTATTTAGATACCTTTTAACAGAACTGGATTTTTAAGCAGTTGTTGCAAATCTTGTTTTCATGTTCATATTAAGGATAGTTTTTCCAGCACTCACTCTTCACAGTTTAGTCTACCTATGCAAAGAACACCTTGTAATTCCCACACCCACCTCAGTGGATTCAGGAAATTGATTAGAGGGCTCAAACTCTTCAGGATTGTTTTCAGGGATTGGCCTTTCTACAAGATAATGTGAATTCCCAACAAGATCAAACACATCTATTTTCAGAGATAAGGACAGTCCAACATAAATTTTTCACATAATTCAAATTTCTCCTTTCAGGTGCCAAACAGGTATTTTAAAATCATTTTTATCTGACAGCAAGGAGATGCAGGACATTCAAACTATACATACAAAAAAAAAAAAAAAAACAGTTGCTGTTAAATCTATTCCAACTCATGGCAATCTCATGTGTGTCACAGCAGAACTGTGCTCTATACGGTTTTCAAGGACTGATTTTTCGGAAACAGATCACGAGGTCTTTCTTCCGAGGCACCTCTGGGTAGACTCCAACCTCCAACCTTTCTGTTAGCAGCTGAGCATGTTAACCATTTGCACCACCCAGGGACTCTTACGAAAAAAGGCAGATATGGCTATATAAAATACCAACCCTGTATATTCCAAAAATAATAATAATAGAATGAAAATTTGAAAAAAATCTTTGCAATAAAAAATTAGTAATTCTAAATATATCAACACAGCTCACAAATCAAGAAAAATTGCCAGGGATATGAACAGAAAAGCAAAATTGAGGAAAGAAAGCAAAAATACACTCACCAACACCAAAAATATATAAATTTGTTGTTCAACTGAAATTGTTAAAGTTTAGGGTTTTTTTAAAATTAAAGTCTTTCTTTCTTCCTTTATTTCCTTATTTATTTTAATGATAACATGTTGATCACTATAAGTAGGTAAAAGAGTCACTAATACATTGCTAGTGAGAAAGTAAACTGATACAACTTTTCTGGTTTAAGAGGTTCAGCAACATGCAAGAAATTTTAGAAATACGCCCTTTTACTTCTTGGGAAATTTGTATGTAGGAAATATTTAAAGACAGAATTATTCTAAGGCCGAAAAACCTAATGGAATTTGCCCTGCTGGATTCTGAAACTGCTTAGGACTAGTGACACCCTTCTTCCATCTTCTCCTTTTTAGAATGGGGACGTCTGTAACTGTTATTCTATGCCTGTCCTGCAAAAATTGTATTTTGGAAGCAGGTAACTTGTTTTCTAGTTTCACAGAACCTCAGATGGAGAGGAATTTTACCCCAGGATGGATCACATCCAGAGTCTCACTCAAACCTGATTTAGATGATGAGATTTGGAACTGCTGAGCTGATAATATTTAGGTAAGATTTTGGACTTGAGTTGATGCTGTAATACGTTAAGACTTTTGGGGATGTTGGGATAACGTGAATGCATTCTGCACATGAGACGGATGGAGATCTTTGGAGGCTAGAAGATAGAATGTAGTGGGCTGAATGGTGATCCACAAAGAGTCCTAATCCCTGGAAACTAGGAAAGTCACCTTATATGGTAAAGTCTTTGCAGATATGATTAAACGAAGATTTCTGAGATGAGGAGGTTATCCTAGATTATTCAAGTGGACCCAAAATGCCATAAGTGTCCTTATAAAAGAGGGGGAGAGGGAGATTTAGACACACAGAGGATTGCACCAGTGAGATCAATGTGAAGATGGAGGGAGAGACTGGAGTGACTCAGCAATACATCAAGGAATGCCGGCAGGCCCAAGATGCTGAAAAAGGCAGGGAAGCAATTCTCCTCTAGAGCCTCCAAAGGAAGTGCAACCCTGCCGACACCTAGCCCAGTGAGACTGATTTCAGACTTCTAGCCTCTAGAATTGTGAGAGAATAAATTTCTGCTGTTTTAAGCCACCAAATGTGTGGTAATTTGTTACAGCAACCATAGAAAACTAATACACTGCACAAAGATTTGTCTACAAGGATGCCAATGCCATTGTTTTTGTAATAGTGGACAAAAAGAAAATCTAAATGTCAAAATCAGGCAGTTAAAATATTTGTAGTTAGACAGAAAAGATAACCATAAATAGAAGAAGTTACAGTCATGTTCAAAAGATGGTATATAAGAATATTAGGTCAAAAACTGTGTAACAGAAGAAAACATGGGTGTGATATGGAGAAGGGGAGTGTTCTGTACTGATACTGGTTTAGTTTCACCTAGCACAGCAGTTCTCAAGGTGTGATCCAGGAATCTCACAGACCCTTTCACAGAGCCTTTGAGTTCAAAATTATTTGCATAATAATACTAAGACATTATCTGCCTTTTTCACTCTCAAGCTCAAGAGAGTAAGGTGGAGCTTTCCAGAAGCTATATGATGTGTGATATCCCAACAGATTGAATGCAAAAGCAGATATGAAAATCCAGTGTGCTACCATTAGGCCGGACATTAAAGATATGAAAATCCAGTGTGCTACCATTAGGCCGGACATTAAAGAGATTAGTAAAAATGTAAAAAATGCCTACTCTTCCCACTAGTTTGTTTGTTCGTCTTGAAAAAGAGTACCCTTAACAAAAAATATCATTCATGTTAATGTTATTATTTAATATTAATTTTATTTCATTGTTTATTTAAATTTATTATCGCTATTTTCAATGATTTAATAAATATTCTTAATTTTTCTCAACTTTAGCTTCTAATACAGAAAATAAAGATATAACACACATAAACAAAAGCTCTTTGCAGTCAATATTTTTTAAGAGTGTAAAGAGTTACTGAGACCAAAGAGTTTGAGCACCACTGAAGTGACACATTCCAAGCTTTATAAGTCTCTTTTTAACAGGTCTTGTTAGAACTTTTAATACATTTATATGAATTGTGAATCTCCAATATGCTCATTAAATGAATCTGAGATGTCTACCCCATGCCAAGCATTGGAAATGAAGTCATTAACATGAAAGACAAGATTCCTGCCCTCATGGAATTTATTTTCTAGCACAGGAGACAGCCAAATTAGAAAATAAGATAAATCAAAACAGCGACATGCCATGAAGAAAACAAAATACAAGATATTAGGATGCAGTATTTTCCAAACATATCTGATAAAGAGGCTCTCCCCACCCCCATGAAACACAATACTACAGAAGTCAACAAGTAATCACAAAGCTACTCTGAGGACCTTTAGCAACACTACAGATATTTTCAGCATTGTCATGATTCAGGTATTTTTTCCCTCATTTACCTATGGCACCAACAGTTCGCTTGATTGACTTGGAAATTGTTCAGAAGATATAAAAATTCTTCAGATTTCAGAAATAAATCACATCAGTAGCCTAAATTGCCTAAAATGTGCAGAAGGCACACTAACACAACTCTCAAAAAAATTACACTAACAAAGGCAAACACTGAACGGAAACTTACTCCTAAAATATATTTATAATTCAATTGCTTAGGCAATTCACTTCCTGTTAAGAATCTGAACCTTACTAGATGGTGCCTGGCACCACCACCAACTACTCTGACAGGGATCACAATAGAGGGTCCCAGACAGAGCGGGAGAAAAATGTAGAACAAAAAACAAATTCACACAAAGACCAGACGTGCTGGTCTGACAGAGACTGCAGAAACCCCAAGAGCATGGCCCCTAAACACCCTCCCTTTTAACTCAGTACTGAAGTCACTCCCGACCTTCACCCTTCAGCCAAAGATTAGACAGGTCTACAGGGCAATCAATAATACCCGTGAGGAACGTGCTTTGTAGTTCAATCATGTATAGGAGACTAAATGGGCACACCAGCCCAAGAGCAAAGATGAGAAGGCAGGAAGGGACAGGGAAACTGGACGAATGGGAACAGGGAACCTTGGGTGGAGAAGGGGAGAGTGCTGACACATTGCAGGGTCGGCAACCAATGTCACAAAACAATTTGTGTATTAATTGCTTAATGAGAAACTAATTTGCTCTGTTAACTTTTACCTGAAGCACATTAAAAAAAGAAAAAAATATCAGAACCTTATGGGGTAAATCAACGATGGTATTACCTTAAATTATTAAATTCCCAAAGCATAAAGGAAAGTATGTTGAATATTTCATGAAATCTATTTTATCACTTGTGGAAAACACAAGCACATGATGATCATGAAGTGGTATTTGATTACAGATAATGCAGTATTACCGT